CTAGGCAGGAGGGGCTGGCGATGGCGCGAGGAGCCAGCTAGGGCGTGAGGTGCCGGCTACGGCGCGAGGGGCCGACTAGGGCACGAGGGGCCGACTAGGGCGCGAGGGGCCGACTAGGGCGCGAAGGGCCGGCTTGGGCGCGAGAGGCCGACTAGGGCACGAGGGGCGGGGGACGGCACGAGGGGCCTGCTAGGGCGCGAGGGATGGCGGCTAAGCGCGAGGGGCCGGTTGGGCGCGAGGGGCCCGGGAGGCGCGAAGGGCCGGCTAGGGCGTGAGGGTCCAGCGACGTTGCGAGGGGCTGGCGACGGCGCGATGGGCCAGCTAGGCGCGAAGGGCCGGCTAGGCGCGATAGGGGCCGGCTAGGCGCGAGAGGGGCCGGCTAAGCGCGAAGGGGCCGGCTAGGTGCGAGGGGCCAGCTACAGCTCTAGAGGGGCCGGGTGGGCGTGATAGGGGTCAGCGAGGCGCAGTAGGCTAGGGCGCGGGGCTGAAGCGGGTGGGGGGGAGACCTAACCTACTCATGATACCATATGAGAATACTAGACTGATTAGAAATGAGAGAGAACAAGGGAGATACAGGGTTTGGGTTGTACTCTCTAAGAACACATACCTATTCTAGCCTAAAACTTCTACATGCACAAGTATGTAGAAGTTGACAAAAATTGCTTAGGATTATAGGTGTTCATATTGCAAAGCATAGCACACTAATCCTGCACCATACCAAATACTACTGCTGCTGCTGCTGCTACTACTGTTGGCGATGTTGGTGCTGGTTATGCCACTGCTACTGCTGGTGATGCTGCTACTACTACAATTGCTGTTGCTGCTGCTGGAGAGGAGACCCTCTACTCCCAATGCTTTTAGTCGACCATGTCAAGCTGGGTAGCAGGGCGGCGGTCCTTGATTGTTAGGAAAATCTCAACCATCTTCAGCCACTCCATGTCGCATTGCACGAGGGCCACTGTCATAAGGTCCTCGAGCTTCCCATTGCCCAAGCTGCTGTGCGTCCACGACTTGATGCGATTCTGGCGGCTGAAGCCCCTCTCGCACTCAACCGTGCTGAGGGGCAGCATGGCGACCGCCTGCCACAGCCGCACGATGTTGGGGTATGCTCCTTCGTAGTCCATGCTGTCTAGGATGAGCTTCAGGGACTTGTGAAAGCCGAGATTCACGTGGTTGGTGCTCTGACATGCAAGTCTTGAAGTTGACCCCTAGGAACTCAGATGGGGGAAATGGGTGGGATAGATGGGCGGAAGGGGGGGGGGGGGGGAGGGGAGGGAGGACGCAATGTGGGAAGAGTTGAGGGCGTGCAAGGCAGCAACAATGTGACAGCGAAAGAGGTTTACCATGCGAGGGCAATAAGATTTGAAGCGTAATACACTTACCGAGAAGCTTAAAAAGGAAAATCTTATTTAGCAGAGCCAACCACTCCCTGGCCTTCTTCATCAATGATGCCCAATCCTCGAGGTATACGAGCGGCCGAAACAGCTTCGCGTCGTTAAGATCCTGCAGGTCGTCCAGCCTGTGCACCAGCCGTGCTTTCGCCTCCGCCACATACTCCGTGCACAGCTTCACGTAGGTCGGGTAGCCTGCCTTGCCTTTCTGACCTTCCCACGGCTCCTCGCTGAGCGTGAAGGTATGCACAGTCGAAGCGTCGTCCTTGTCGACACCTACGACTGTCACCTCTCAAAACTGGGGGTTGGCATGCTCCTTCAGGAAGGTCTTCAGAAGCGGCGAGTCCTTGCCGAAAGCGTTTTCGCAGTCGATTTAGCGGACGTCAATCTTTTTGCACACCTGAGGTCGGGCGTAAAGCAGAGAAAGAACGACAACAATTAGGGCATGCGGTTAAAAAACAAATACGAGGCCACTTCCATCAGAAACCTCACCTGCTTCTTCTAAAAGTTTGCGTTGAGGTCGTTGAGGACCTCCAGCAAATCTGCCACGAAGTACACAAGGAAGTGAAACTTGAAACTCTTCACAAATCCGTAGAGCTCGTGTTGATACTCGTGCAGAAGCACGACTACTGCCGCAAGCAGCTGCGCGAACCGCTTCACCGCGCTCTCCCGTGAAAGCCAGCGGACGTCATATATTCCCTAGAGCTCCAGATTCGTGTCACACAGCTCTTCCTGCAGCTTCTTAAAGCGCCTGTACCAGATCCCGCTCCTTGACAGCAATTCAGAGACGGTTATGATGACCTGGTCGATGACGGAGAAGTCTCTAACCTTCACCGCCGCGTCTTTGGCTACCAGAGACTCACCGGCATGGAGGGGGGGAGGGAACGCACCGACGCACACAAGGTGTGAGACAGTAGAACGTGACATCGCATGCGACTTGGGAACCAACAACCGAAAGACAACCAGTCAAACACCAAACACCAGAGTCAACTCACCGATGGGCGATGTAGTGGCATGACTCTAGGTGCCGAAGCTTAATACGCAATCGTGCGACGACGCCCTTCTGCTCGCCTACCATGACACACGCGCCGTCCGTACTTATCCTGACGATCTTTTCCATGTCGACTTCAGTGAGGCTTGCTGCATCACATTTTTGCACAGTGAGGAGTGTCAGGAACTCGGTACGTAAATAGCCATCCTTGATGTAAGTCACATATAATATCAGATTCTTCCCTCTGACACGGTCCGTGCTCTCCTCAATAGCGATGCCGAGGTTAGGGCTGTTGACGATGTTCTTCAGCTGCTCTTCTCGTAGGTACTTCGATGCGGCCTTGACCAGCTCGTTGAATCCGTATCTGCCAAGCATAAACATGATGAAACAAGATAGTAATCAGAGATGTTGCATCGCATGGACCATTAATACAGTGTGCTCGCTCAGTACTTGGAAAAAACGCACTAAGATCGAAAAGACATGCCCCGGTAAATCCAAATTCGAAGTTACTCACTCTGAAAAGTAGGTGCCCTTCTGATCAAGAGGGAGGTTGGGCGTCTGCACTGAAGCCATGAACTTGATGAATCCGACGTAGGAAGTTATCGGTGCCTCCGATTGGCACGTGTACACCGCCGTCTTCATGGCGGTGATGAGATGTAGCGTGCTCTTGTCGAGCCCCTCGTACTCGTTTAAGAGAGTTTGCCGTTGACCGAGCGAAGGGGAGATGCTGCTGCCGCCGCTTCTGCTACAGGCTGCTCGCTTTCCGCTTCGCGGAAGATGCCGTCAAGCCCACAGAAGTTGGGGAAGGGGCAGGAGAACCCCCAGAGGCAGAAATTGGTAGAGCTGCGGGAGATGGGGGTGTACGCTCAGGGACATCCGCTATGGGTTCGGTCATAGGAGGTTGTTAGAAGACTAACGTAGTTAGGAAGGAAGGGCGGCCATGAAAATGGCGTAAGGGTTTAGGAGCTAGGAGCTAGGAGGGGAAAGTTTGACGAGAGAAAAGAGAGGGAGACTAGGAAGAGAGAGGCATACAAGGAGGGAATTGTACCCTCTACAGTAAGGTTCATTAACAACTACCAAGCCTATCAATTATATATAACTTATATAATCTTAGCACACCCCCTAGGCTTGGTAGTCGAAGGACCCACACACACCCACACCCCCCAACCTAGCACCCCCATTCCCTGCAGCAGCAGTGGCGGTTGACAGCGCGGTCGAACTCTCCACGGGCGGGGCGGCGACGTCAACGATGAGGGTGCGGTGGCGACGACGGCGGCGGTGGCAATGACGATAGCAGTGGCGGCGGCGGCAAAAAAAGCCAGCGGCAACAGCGGCGGTGGCGGGGGCTTCGACAACAGCAGCGGCGGCGGCGGCGCTCGTCCCACTCGGCGACGTGGCCAAACTCCGCGACGGTGGGACGGCCGGCGGGAGTCAGCCGTCGGCTGCGGCGAGTACCAGGACACAGGGGGAGAGGGGCGGGGCGTGGTCCAGCCTCACGCTGGAGGCTGGTGTGCGGGCGGCAGGTGTGGCGGCGCCACGAACGTCAGGGCGCTGGCCGCAGCACGGGGACACGGCGGGAAGGTGGAACGGCGGAGCCGCCACGTCAGGGTGGCAAGCCCAGCACGGCTCCTCGACGTGGCAGCCATGCAACGAGGCCGCCACGGCACCTCGACATGGCCGCCACGGCTGAGTGTCGAGGTCGCCATGGCAGCGCGGCGAGGGACGGCGGCGGCACAAAAAGGACGGTAGAAAAGCGCGGCAGAAGCGTGAGGAGCAGGCCCGCTAGGAGCGAACCGCTCTGAAACCATGTTAGAAGACTAACGTAGTTAGGAAGGAAGGGCGGCCATGAAAATGGCGTAAGGGTTTAGGAGCTAGGAGCTAGGAGGGGAAGGTTTGACGAGAGAAAAGAGAGGGAGACTAGGAAGAGAGAGGCATACAAGGAGGGAATTGTACCATCTACAGTAAGGTTCAGTAACAACTACCAAGCCTATCAATTATATATAACTTATATAATTTCAACAGAGGTGACCCAACGCAAGGGGAGGTTGGAGGTGGGCACGGCTGAGCGACTATGAATGGTGCGCGACGGAGGAAACTAAGGGCTGATCGTGGAGGGGAAAGCGTGCGTTTCCGCCCACCATCCTCCTCATCGACGTCATCGGGAGGCATGGCTGTCGTCATGGCAAGAGGAATATGGGAAGCGGGTGAGAGATACAAACACAGAGCAGATTGTATCTCAGTGCTATCAAAGAACAGCTTGAAAGAAACAACTGAAGAAGAAGTGGTGCCCCGAACAGAGGAGAAGGGGATCGACAGCTGTGCCCCCTTCTTTCCACCAATCAGGTCGTTTGCCTGCAGAACAGGTCACCGCAGAACCATTTGCTGCCGCGCCTTCCATGCGCGCTGCGACCCCTGACGCTGATAGGTTTGTCTTTTCCTAGAATGCCGCACACTTTGCCATGGAGGAGCAGTCTCGTCGACGCGCGCCAGCACAGAGCAGTAATGGCGCTGCTTGCGGCGTGACTTGGGGGAAAAATCTTGCCACCAAACGGGGGGCCTGCATGTAGAATCACATCAGGGTATTTCGTAGAGGCACTTTTTCGCATCAACGCTACACCACTTTTGAAAATCAGGGTCCGGTACAAACATAGTTTTTTTCATAAGGGTCCAAAACTAAACCACTTTCAAAAATAAGCGTCCAACACCTACCCCAGCCTTTTAGTAAGGGCCGTAAGGGTATTTTACCCTGATATCCTGAGGCCTGATGGCAATTCAAAGGGGCTTGCGCTTGCTGGTGGTGGAGCAACAAGGGTAGGCTGGACGCAAAAACCGCATGCGCTTTAGTGGAACGGCAGGGCAGTGGCGGAGGTGATGGTGGCGGTGCAGGGGTGGTGTTGGCTACACAACGCCACGAGCGCTTTGAAAATGGTGCTAGTTACAGGCGGTGTGGGGATGGAGACCCAGAGGGCCATTGGAGCATGGCTGTGCTGTCTCTGCACTCAATTGCGCCAGCTGGACCTGTGGTGTGTTGGTCAGTGGCCACACAGGGAGAGGAGCACAGAGGTGAGAGGGGCAAGTACTACGCTGGGAAGAGGAGAGGGCACGTACGTGCAGCAAGCACGGGAAGGGAAGGCAGGGCATGGCACGGCATGGCAGCAGGAGGGGGAAGGGGGGAAGCACCGTATGTACCTCAAGTGGCAAGGTGGGTCGTGTGGGAGCGTCGTTGCGCTGGAAAAAGGTTGATACACCCATGCCCATGCCCATGCCCATGCCCATGCCCATGCCCATGCCCATGCCCATGCCCATGCCCATGCCACCTCCACGCACGCCCCACGCACCACCCCCGCTGCCACTACCCACGCCCCTTGCTCCCATGCCCCCTTCCATGCCCACCGCACCTATGCTACTGCCATCCATCCCCTCTGCCCCTGCACCCACTCCCACTGCTCTCCCTGCTCCTCCTGCTCTTCCTGCCCCTCCTCCCGTTCCTGCAGCTCCAGTGTTAGCCCCAGTGCCCCCATCTGCCTGCCTGTACATGCCAAGTGTGTTGATCAGCCCACTTGCATGTGCATTTGCATTTGCATGTGCGTGTGCGTGTGTGTGGCCCTGTGAGCTGTTGTCACCCTGCATGCTAACCAGCTTCCCTCCACCTTCACTCAACCGTCGCTGCTGCTGCTGCTGCTGCTGCTGCTGCCTGTAAGTCTGGAGCAGCAGCTGGCGTTTGGCGGCATGGGCGCAGAAGACAGAAGGAGCAGCAAGAGCAGAGGAGGGATACGGGTCTGGTGGGAGGAGCAGAGACGGGCCCACAGAGCGACACGCGGCATGATCTGCCAGCCTATCCCCTGCCATCGCGCACTCCATGTCCACTGACCCTCCCATACTTGCTGATACTCCTCCTCCTCCTCCTCCAACTTCTCCTCCTTCATCTCCACCTGCCGCGTGCTGCCTCCACTCACCGCCCTGGCCCGTGGCTACCAGCGTCCAAGGGCTGCACGCCTCATGCCGTGCCGGCAGCCGCGCCAGCTGAGTCGGGTGAGCTGGGTGAGACAGGTGCATGGGAGGAGACAGATGTGCCGCTGCTTTACTCAACTGATTCCCGCAGCTTGCGCCTGCTGCTCCCTCACCCTCACCCATCATCACCACTACTGGTGGTGGTGGTGGTGCTGCTGCTGCTTGCACCTGGTGCGCGCATGCCAGTCCATCGTCCCCCATGCTCTGATCTGCATGCGCCAGTGCCTTTAAAGACGACCCCGCTCCCCACTCATTCCGCCCCACACCTTGCCCTCCGCCCATTCCCCTGCTCTCTCGCCCGTCCCGCGCACGCGAGCCAGCCATGCCAAAACTCCTCATGCTCCCAACGCCAGCACTACCAGCACCTGCTGCCGCACCTCCACCTGCTACTGTGCCGCCACCTCCACCTCCGAATCCTGCTGCTGAAGCCATGGCTGCAGCTGCTCCCCCGCTAACAGCCATACCACCCACCCCCCCTCCCACTCCCCCTCCCACCCCACAGCTTTGACTCCAGCTTCTGCTGCTGGCTGCTGGCTCAACGGCCATTGCTCCGCCCATACCGCTACCAATACTACTACCAATACCGCTAATCATCATACCACTACCCACGGCACTACCCATACCCGTCCCCATGCTGTTGATCGTACCACTCCCAGCCCCCCTTAACCTCATATGCGTGGGAATGCTGCTGCCACCCCAGCCCTGTGCGAATCTCAGTTCTCTTTCCACTGCCTCACTCCCCCCTCCCCCAGCCTCACTACCACCAGCAGCACTTGCCCCTGCCATAGCACCATCACTACCAGCAGCAGCAGCAGCAGCAGCGGTGTCATGTGCACCTCCCCTCCGGCCTGCCCTTATGCCTGCTGCACCGCCAGGCCCGCAGCCCCACTTGCGGCTCAGGGCAGCCAAGCGGGCTGCTGCTGGTGGCACGGGCGCACATGCAGAGGGCGGGGTGAGAGAGGGGGCATCCATGTGCCCCGACACACTCCGACACCCGCCATCACTGAACCCGCTGGCTGTAGGGGCTCCCATGGCAACGGCCATGCCACTGCCCATGCCATCGCCCATCCCTTTGCCCATGCCGTGCATGCCATGTCCTGTCTGCATGCTGTACCCGGCTCCCTTCCTCATGCCGCCCCATGACCTCTTCACCCCCACACTGCCACCACTGCCAGCAGCCCCAGCAGCAGCAGCTGTATTCACCGCCGGCTGGGAGAACGCCGCTTGCGCATTACCACCGCAACCACTGCCACCGCCACCAGCAGCGTCAACTCCACGCCCTCTCCCCTCGCTTGCGGCCTGCATGCCCCTCAGCACCAGCAGCTGCCTTCGAATCGCACTCAACTCCTCTTCAACCCCCCCCTGCCCCTGCTGCCCAGCATCCCAAGCCTGCATCAACCGCGCATGCTTGCGTGCCTGTGCCCGAGCCTGTGCCTGAGCCTGTGCGAGTGCCTGGGCGCGTACCTCTGCCTGCAGCTCGTCCTGTGCGTGCATGCGGGCTTGAGTGCGCGCTTGCCACACAGCCAGCCCCTGCTGCCCGTGCTGCCTCTGGGCGTGAGGCTGGGAGCCTTGCAGCTGCTGCCGCAGCAGAGCCAGCCTGCGGGCATAGGGGATGGGCGCCGGAGGTGGTAAACCACCTGCTGCCGCTGCAGCTGCTGCTGCTGACACACCTCCTCCTGCTGCTCCTCCTGCTGTTGCGGCTTCTGCCGCAAGTGGCAGTGGGAATGCTCCTGTGCCTAGCACCTTGCCAGCATGGCTTGGGAATGCGCCTGTGCGTGCTGCTGCTGCTGCTGGCGCGGAGGGTAGGGGATCCGAAATGCAGCGGAGGGGCGCTAGAGAGGGATGGATGAGCGAAGCCACGACATGGGGCGACGCGTGATGGAAGAGCACAGCAGCACCCGTGCAGGCAGCACGGGAAGGAAGGGTGGAGCCGGGGGACGCAGGACCAGCAGAGGGAGAGGTAGCAGAGGCGGTGGGGGTGGTGGCTGCACTGGTCCCGCCACTGGCAGCGCCCCATCGGGCGCGCTTGGTGGAGGAGACAGGGGCGATGCCGACGCTGACGCTGTCTGTACGCAGCTGCGCCACCAGGCTCTGCCACTTGTCCACGTCCGACTGCTGCACTGCCCCTCGCTGCTGCTGCAATGCCTGCTGCTGCTGCTGCTGCTGCTGCTGCTGCTGCAGCTGTTGCTGCTGTTGTTGTGGGTGCTCCTGCTGTGGTGTGTGCTGCTCCTGCTCCTGCTGCATGGCGTCCAGCGAATCCCACAGACTGCCACCTGCCTCCATCCCCACACTCGTACCACCACCAGCACCAGCAGCAGCACCAGCAGCAGCAGCAGCAGCAGCACCAGCAGC